AAGTACTTACTTGAAGTTCCTTGTTGAAAGTGGACGAATTTTGGTAATGGAATAGGACCTCTGATCCGTTGATTAAAATTGTACAATCGGCTGCGTCGAGGTATGCGATATTCAGACGATGAAAGTTAGGAAATTTACTGTTCCGCTGGCTGCTACTGATGTCCAAAACGGTTGCTTCGTAAAATTTCACTTATATCTATGTAAAAAACCACTGATCCGGCTCGAAGGACCAAATAGAAAATGTACACTGGGTGTTTCTGGAATAAGTAGCAAGCATTGAAGGGTGTAAAGTACATGCAATAGGGAGTCGTATGGTGAATAAAGAAGTGCTGTTAAGGGATAAAAAAGTAAGAAAACCAGTCGAAGTTACAATCCGAATCCGGCCCTGGGCGTGAATTGGGCAACGTATAGAGAAGTTGCAATAAAAACTAATAAGCACCTACATAGATGACCAATGTAAACAGTGACGGTTATGGACGACCAATAAAGTAAATATCAGCTACTACACATAATAATCTTAAGACGCCCATTACGATAACAACTAATTAAATAACTACTTAAAGTATGCAGCACTATTTAAAGCGCATCTCGATATGGCATTAAAATCACAAAAGAAAGCAAAAAAAAAGGTTATATAATAAACTTTAATAGGTAAATTAATATCCTCTGGATAGGTAATTATTAAATTTCAAAACCACCGTTGAGGTATTGCCAAGGTGCATTACCATTTTTATGGGTCGCAGATAACCCTATCCTCCCATTAGAAAAAATTAATTACAACTCCAGTGAAGACACATACATACGTACGTACACTGCAAAAATTATGTCTGAGCCGCGCAAAACCGTCCGGCATTTGACGTACTTCATTTTAACAACCCCATACAAATAAGTCAAACGCATTTAGATCAGACCATGATCGGCTCGTACGTCCAATTTAGCGACTTAAAAAAATGTTTGTCTAAAAACTCACACAGTGGTCAATGCAATAATACCATTCTGCACTAACCTATGATATTGACACATTGACTTACTTTTAATGACTTCGACTGTCCACATACATACGTAATAAAAGCGTACAACGTTAAAAGAACAAAGAACTACTCTACCTTGCTGTAATCATAAGCCTCTTTAATTACACTTAATCTAACTAGCGAATAACAAATAATAGATTATTACAAAAATATAAAAGAAATACAACACGGACGCTGCTAAGTAGTAGCTCATTGAATACGGCGTTGCAGTGTCGTATTTCCCAGCGTGATCCTACCAAGGTCGGACTGGCTTTTGAATGTACCTTCAAACACGATTTTCTCGAAAACGGTATATTGGCCTGCTGCAAGCTTGTGACTTGTTTCAGAAACCCCCTACATATGAATGTATATGTTGATGATAGGTTTAGAAGGTATTCTTAGTTTTGAATTTTTAAGCTAACCTGTTCTTTTGATGACAGATTAGGACTCGAGATTGAGAATTTGTCCATCGAACGTGTCACAGTCACAAGGTAGTTATTTGTGTTTGTAATATTATCCGGGGAGATGGTGAGGCAATTAAAGCAGCATAAAATAACAATACACGAAATTGAAGTACAAGGATTTGTAAAAATTTGAAGAAATCTTCGTGATTATAGAATCGTCCACCGTGTTACATTCTCTACCTATATCATCCTATTGAAACAAATTAAAGGGCTAAGTGATTGTTGCTGCTGTTGATCAAGTCGTTTACGACATATTTAATGAAAATTCATATTTATTTTTAATTTTTCCACTACAAATTACCTCAATTAAAGGAAAATTGTTGCTGTTGTCACATCCTCACCGGGAATCGAACCCGGGACCTTTCGCTTTACGCACCAATGCTCTGACCACTAAGCTATGAGAGGTGACAACAGCAACAACGACAAACAGTACTTATTAGGTCACAAGTCTGTCGAACTATATTAATACTATATGGTCTATTTTTGACATTTAATAGGGGTGATATTATTAATGAAAATTCATATTTATTTTTAATTTTCCCACTACAATTTTCCTTTAGTTGAGGTAATTTGTAGTGGGAAAAAAACAATTTTCATTAATCATATCACCCCTATTAAATGTCAAAAATGGACCATATAGTATTTATATAAAATTTGTTTAGTTTACTTAGATGAAATCATCATATTGATAAAAATCATTTGAGGACCACCTCCGAAACGTGACCGAGGTGTTCAAAAAATTAAACGTCACAAACAAACACTAAGAAATGCGCCTTGTTTAGAAGACATAGAGCATGTTATAACACTGGAAGGAATTGAGATCGACCTCGACAAAGTCGTATGAAGTTGGTTCATATCAAAAGATGGGTACGAACTTTTAAACATTGTGAGACTTTGCTCCTATTATTATATGAGGGTTTACCGAGATAGCCCAACCACTATATACACTTACAAAAGATGGAGTTTCATTCTAATGGGCACTTGAATGTCAAGAGGCATTTGAAAACACTTTCTGGAACCCCAAACTTGACAAACCCACAGTTCAGCGAATCCTTTACGTTAATGCCGACGCTATTAATGTGAGACTTGGTGGTGTATTATCTCAAGTTCAAGGAAAAGGTCATCGAATGCTTTAGTTAAACATTTTCGAATTCTAGAATATTTCCATAGGTACTTGTATGGACGGAGATTCCTCGTGAGCTATTCATGAACCCGAAAAGACAAATTGCACACTGGTTTTCAACTATGAATATAAGTTCGACATCAATCAGCATCCACGTAAACAACACGGTAACGCAGATACACAATTCCGGAGACCTTGCGTGGAAAACTGCAACCATTCCTCATCTGTGGAAGAAAAGGGACTGACATCGGTCTATTGTAATCTAACCACCGTCCGGTATGAGGAATTTCGGGAAGATAATCGATTAATTCAAGATCGAAAGAAGGACGAAGATATTAGCTCAATAATAAGGTGGAAAGAAACCGAAACTTCAAGAACATTGGGGACAGATACGAGTTACTTAAGTCAGGTAACAAAAAAAACGAAATGTGTGCTGGGACACATAGTAGAAATGAAACTTCAACGGACAAGTTGAAAAACGAATGGCAACGGACAAGTGGAAAAATGAATGGCAACGGACAAGTGAAAAAACGAATGGCAACGGACTAGTGGAAAAACGAATCGCAACAAAATTTTTACCGGCAAATTGTTAATGTATTTGTCCAATTTGAAAACCTGTCCGTAAAACTCCAAGTAAGAATTTTGTTGCGATTCGTTTTTCCACCTGTCCGTTGTCATTCGTTTTTCCACTTGTCTGTTGAAGTTTCACTTCTACTATGTTCCAGCACACATTTCGTTTTCATAGGTTTACTGCAAATTATGATTTGGTTTTTACACAGACGGCAAATAGAGACAATGATGCTCAGCCACGTGGAAAACAGAGGTAAGAGAACAATAGCTGAGCACAGCAAACGCCGCCGGGACTCTAGCGGACTCCCCGCTCTCCACGCGACTGCGCATTATGTTCATCCAATACAGTCGTTGCCCTCTCTCCACCGCTGACGCCACTCACCACGCGATATACCGTCTACCCCCTCCATGCGGGCGTAACGCTTTTTTGTGACCGAAAAAATCGTAATAACCCGTCTATATAGAAGTTTCACTTCAATTATTGAGCCCAGTGGAATTCTCTTACCTTGGACCACAGCGTTTTGAAAAGAATATGGGATAGTCCAGATGAAACCAGAAACAAACTTCAAAGGGTACTTCCGAAGAACAGTTTCAGAAGTAATCCATGGCGAAGCTTATTTCGGCATTACGGAGACTCTAAAGAAGGTAAGCGAGATATTTTATTGACTACGAAGTAGAAGCGGCGTATAAGACATGTGTAAGTAAGGGACCCAAGACGCATGCAACAGTACAACGCAGGAGCGCCATTCAAAGAAATAAATGCAAAAAAAAAAATTATTTGATGTAATTATGTACACATATACGAAATTCCTTAGTATGCTCATTACCCACGCTGTACTTTTCTCTAAGCTTTAAGTGAACAAACAAAACTTTTCATCTCCCAATAATTTTAAAATCGTTCTTATATGAACATATTAGTCGCTTTTTTATTTTAAATTATTTTATATATTTTCTCGTAGCATAAAAAATACCTTCCAACTCCCCTTAATTTCACGATTGTCTCTCTATATTCATTTTGTGATAGGAACGGTTACTGACCTTTTGATAAATTATTACTAGAGTTTTAAAACAAAATAATGAAAAACATTAACTGCAAATAAACTGCGTAAAATATTGTAATAACAAGTATAGAGTACAAGAAGGAAGGAGGAGTATTATAAAAAATATTTACTATTAAGAAGTTGTACCAAAATTAAAAAAAAGGATGNGATACTTTTTGCCATTTTATTCTATAGATAAGAAAATAGTATTTTTTTAATGATATAAATAACTACCAAAGAAAATGTATAGTAAATGATTAGATAATAATTAAAATAATTAAAATTTGTTGTTTTCAGTAAGATTGAAGCAAGTATCTTTTTTATTTTTAAGTAAGAGAATTATTTTTTAATTTATGCTTTTAACGCGCTAAGACGGTAGTATTTTAATTTAAAAGCGATTATTATAATAATAAATTTTGAATTATGTTAGTTTTTTAATAAATTAATAGTCAATATAAGGTTTAGACAACCCAAAATACACCATACTTCAAGAATAATTTCTGGGTTTGGCAGCCGGAGAGCATAAGTACGAAAAGGTATCCCCCAGAAAAGTAACTAGATTTCCCCTAGGATAGTGGTTCCGTAACAGCTATTTTGAAGCCGAAAGAATAACTTTCAAATTAAAAAAATAATTTAAAAATGAAAAGTGTAAATAAAAACATAGCATGTAGCACAACTAATCAATCAACCTTTACTCATATTTCTGGTTATTTTAAGATTAAATGACAACGTGAATTAGCGTGCGTTACTACTTGACTGTTATTTATACAGCTAATTTAGGTACTCTTTTATTTACATGGTTCTGATTTGATGTTTGCTAACCTAAAATAGTCACCTTGCTATCATTTTGATTAATATATCAAAACAAATATGCATTGCATTATCTCTTAATTTAAGAAATTATTAAAAATTCCAAGCTGAAAAACATGAATTTACTGCCTAAGACAGAAGATAAATTTGCTTCTAAAGAATATTGGGACACCTTTTTCAAAAAAAGGGGTGCCAGTGCATTTGAATGGTTTGTGAATGAAATGTTTTCTAGTAGAAGCATATTTTTATATGTTATTACAGGTATGGTGAATATACAGAACTATCGAAACATTTGCACAAATATATCAAGATTTCAGAAAGAATTCTTGTTCTTGGATGTGGAAATTCTTCATTAAGTAGCGATCTTTTTGATGTAGGCTACAGGTATTCTTTATAGCTTATTTAAATTGCATAATTATAAGACTTTATTGCTTGTAGAAATATAATTAGTATTGATATTTCTGAAATTGTTATACATCAAATGAAAAAACTTCATAGTCTGATACGGCCTTCTTTAAAATTTATACATATGGATGCATTAAATATGACCTTTGAGGAGGGAGAGTTTTCCGTTGCCATTGATAAAGGTACTTTGGATGCCCTAATTCCTAAAGAAAGTGCAGATGTTATAGAAAAAGCTACAAAATATTTTAAACAAATTGATAAGGCTATAAAATTTGGTGGTAGATATATTTGTATATCACTTTTACAATCTCATGTATTGAGGACTATTCTTGATTATTTTCCAAGTAAAAGTTGGATGCTTCGAATAATAAGATGCTTTGAGGCTGAAAAGAAGGCTGCAGAAAGTGGACAGAAAGTTTTTCCTGTTTTTATTGTTATTTGTACAAAGTTTAAGAATCTCAATCAAGAGGTTGGTAATGATTCCTTGTACCTATAGTATTGATAATATACTAATAAGGTTTAGAGGATATTAATTATAATTTTTAAGATTTTAGAGTTAAATGTTACAACAAATGAGTCCATAGTAAGGTTAAAAAATACAGAAGAAGTTNATACACCATACTTCAAGAATAATTTCTGGGTTTGGCAGCCGGAGAGCATAAGTACGAAAAGGTATCCCCCAGAAAAGTAACTAGATTTCCCCTAGGATAGTGGTTCCGTAACAGCTATTTTGAAGCCGAAAGAATAACTTTCAAATTAAAAAAATAATTTAAAAATGAAAAGTGTAAATAAAAACATAGCATGTAGCACAACTAATCAATCAACCTTTACTCATATTTCTGGTTATTTTAAGATTAAATGACAACGTGAATTAGCGTGCGTTACTACTTGACTGTTATTTATACAGCTAATTTAGGTACTCTTTTATTTACATGGTTCTGATTTGATGTTTGCTAACCTAAAATAGTCACCTTGCTATCATTTTGATTAATATATCAAAACAAATATGCATTGCATTATCTCTTAATTTAAGAAATTATTAAAAATTCCAAGCTGAAAAACATGAATTTACTGCCTAAGACAGAAGATAAATTTGCTTCTAAAGAATATTGGGACACCTTTTTCAAAAAAAGGGGTGCCAGTGCATTTGAATGGTTTGTGAATGAAATGTTTTCTAGTAGAAGCATATTTTTATATGTTATTACAGGTATGGTGAATATACAGAACTATCGAAACATTTGCACAAATATATCAAGATTTCAGAAAGAATTCTTGTTCTTGGATGTGGAAATTCTTCATTAAGTAGCGATCTTTTTGATGTAGGCTACAGGTATTCTTTATAGCTTATTTAAATTGCATAATTATAAGACTTTATTGCTTGTAGAAATATAATTAGTATTGATATTTCTGAAATTGTTATACATCAAATGAAAAAACTTCATAGTCTGATACGGCCTTCTTTAAAATTTATACATATGGATGCATTAAATATGACCTTTGAGGAGGGAGAGTTTTCCGTTGCCATTGATAAAGGTACTTTGGATGCCCTAATTCCTAAAGAAAGTGCAGATGTTATAGAAAAAGCTACAAAATATTTTAAACAAATTGATAAGGCTATAAAATTTGGTGGTAGATATATTTGTATATCACTTTTACAATCTCATGTATTGAGGACTATTCTTGATTATTTTCCAAGTAAAAGTTGGATGCTTCGAATAATAAGATGCTTTGAGGCTGAAAAGAAGGCTGCAGAAAGTGGACAGAAAGTTTTTCCTGTTTTTATTGTTATTTGTACAAAGTTTAAGAATCTCAATCAAGAGGTTGGTAATGATTCCTTGTACCTATAGTATTGATAATATACTAATAAGGTTTAGAGGATATTAATTATAATTTTTAAGATTTTAGAGTTAAATGTTACAACAAATGAGTCCATAGTAAGGTTAAAAAATACAGAAGAAGTTGCAGGTATTATTCTCAACATACAACAATCTGAATTTATTTCTTATGAAGTAAAAAATTTAAACAAAAAAGAATACAAAGAAATTTCGTTAGACCTATTTCAATTGGGAGAAGTAAATCCTCGTTTCAAAATATACATTATAAACCTTCCATATGAAAAAAAAAGAGGTTTATATGCAGCCTTTGTAGTACCTCAAGGAAGGTATAGCTTATGTTTACATAATTTTTAAATTTCAAAAGTAACTTTTGTATTTTATAGAGAAATAGAATGGATGTTTTCTACAAAAGCTGGAAGGATGCATCTCACCAAAATAAGTAATTACAACAGATTACTGATTATTACATTATGTCGAGATCAAAAATATGACTCGTTTGAAATAGTTACAGGTGAATTGGAACAAACTGTTCAGTGTTTTGCTCCAGAAGGAATTTCAGGAAAGGTAATATGTGTATATTTTCTTTAATTTTTCATTTTATTATGTGATTTATAGTGATTAAGTATATTTACTTTTAAAACCAAGTAGTATTCACAGTATAGAAATACAAAGATTTTCAACGTTTTCTTTACATGTATTAAGAAAGTTAGTTTAAAAATCAGTAAAAGTAATATCTAGTTATTTATTTATTTATTCATAGTTCGGTCGAAGTTGTGATAGGTCTGTACGAGTTTATCCCCGTTATTTTCACGTTATTCCTCGAGAATTTTTAAATCAAAATAACGTGCATTATTGATGACAGAAAGAGCTGCAGTTCTGCAAAGGTTCAAAAAAGGATATTTGATAATTCATAGGAGCTTTGAGAGTGTTTCTATAGGCGTTTTCTGAATCTAAATATGAGTGTTTCTTGCTAGGAATCGACCCGGATTATTACTAATACCGGATCGGATAATTAACCAGTTTAAGAATAAAAATTATCAAATATACTATTTTAAAAACTTGACTTATATATATAAATAACGTAGCAATTAATATTCCTTATTACACTAATAGATATGTTATAATCCATGATACAGTATGGAACGCATGAATGCAGAAGAATTCAACGAAAAAACTCAGTAAAAGAACTAAACTAAGAAAGAAAAAAAATAGCAGTGTATGGTCTTGGTTAAAAATAAGCAAAACAAGCAAGAAGAATATAACAAAAGCCGAAAGCTCTAAATTCCTAAGTAAACAAAGTATAAAACATTAAAAAGAAAAATACCACAAATGAGATATCAATTAAATAGTAAAACAGGGCAANTAGTTTTTAGTGATTAGAATAGAAGTTCAATTAAATGTTTTAAATAAAACAGTGAATTTTTATTCTTCATCGAAATCACGATCCAATTTAACTAGTTGCATAAAATTAATTTGGCGTGCAACGTACAACGTTTGTACATTTTTTATTTGGTCCTTCGAGCGCGAAGAAGACTGCAAATTATTTTTCGTGGATTGTTAAACCTTTTTTTAAGAAGGTTCCATGCAATTAAATAATTATCTTCGGATGCATTAAGCGAGTTCACTACTGCAGCAGCATAGCCTATTAGGTATGATTTTAAAAGATGAAATTTATGTACAACCGGAATTGAATCACTATCATGAATTAAAGATTTGAATGTATCGTAAAAACTATGCCACTCAATGAAATCACCATTAAATTGTTTAATGTTTATTTTTGGAAGGATAGATTGCGATGAAGACGCATTTTGGCTAGGAATTTCAGGACTATTTGCAACTGTACGATCTCGCTCAGTAAGGTTTAAAGATGAATTTGTTTTGCTATATTAACTGAACATTCAAAATGAAGATTTTCTACCTCCTCTCTCTCGCTTTCGTGATCTACGGCTTCGTTTAAACATTCTATTTGATTTTGAATTTCACACCACTCTTTATATGCTTCTTCTAGTCTACCTTTACGGTTTTATAACACAAAAAAATCTAAGCTTTCATGAGAATGTATATATGTATGAATGCGGGTAATTTGTCCCTTTTTAACACCACGTTGTTTGATAAGAACTTTAAGTGATTCAGATGCCATTGTGAAGTACTATGTAAAGTATAAAATAAAGTAGAAACAGAGGCTTGCAAGGAAATAAAAGATTGGAAAAGGATAGCGAATCAAAGTACTTACTTGAAGTTGCTTGTTGAAAGTGGACGAATTTTGGTAATGAAATAGGACCTCTGATCCGTTGATTAAAATTGTACAATCGGCTGCGTCGAGGTATGCGATATTCAGACGATGAAAGTTAGGAAATTTACTGTTCCGCTGGCTGCTACTGAAGTCCAAAACGGCTGCTTCGTAAAATTTCACTTGTTTCGATGTAAAAAACCACTGATCCGGCTCGAAGGACCAAATAAAAAATGTACAAACGTTGTACGTTGCACGCCAAATTAATTTTATGCAACTAGTTAAATTGGATCGTGATTTCGATGAAGAATAAAAATTCACTGTTTTATTTAAAACATTTAATTGAACTTCTATTCTAATCACTAAAAACTAAACTTCAACGTCTAAATTATAACTATCAAATTCGTCCAACAAAGAAAACTATTTTTGGGTGGTTACTGGAACAAAACTTACTTGTTTGAGAGATGAAATCTGAATGATGTCTGATTCTTAATGTACTATATCTACCAACAGGTAAATTGGTGAATATTATTTTAGCGGGGGTGAATAACTAGAAACTGAATATAACACAGAATATGGAAAGCCCTATCATTAAATGTGAGCACAATCGCCATACAATATTTCTTTCCAGTTTATAAGGGTTCTGTGAATACCCAGGTAAAATGTAAATTGGT